ATAAATGCTGCAAAAATTAAAACTTTTCGCAACATTTAATAAATGTTTGCGAAAGGTGACATTAGCAGCATCTATTTACAAAATATTGCCAAAACTCAATTACGTTAATTAATGGCTACATTTGCTTATTAAAATGTTGCGGTAGACCCCTTTAGCAATACTTAACTACCGAATGTTGCCTTTTATGTGTTGCAAATGATGATTTTTGGTGTAGTCGTAAATAACTTACACTCCACTTCACTATGAGTGAAGCTAAATAACACAAATTTCATTATATTCCAATTGTGAGATAAAATACTCAACAAATTAGCTAGTTCAACATATACAAGTCTTTTAAGCCGTTTCACACTATGATATAGTTTTGAAGTGAAATCAAGACCTCGTGATCTAAAACGACATCATGTCCTTTTAACTAATTTTGTGTTTTTCACTTTATTTTAACTCGTATCAACATGAAAATGAACGAATTGAAGATTTCATTATATTTGGACACCAATATCAAGGCAAAGTTCACTCAATAATAACCAACACTATTATTTTATTAGTAAACTATACTAGACTTAACTACGAACGAAGGTAAGTAACCCAAATTCTACTATATTCCAATTATGAAATAAGATACTCATCAAATTAGTTTGTTTAACTTATATAAGTTTGCTAAGATGTTCCAAGCTATGATTGACTAGGTTTGAAGTGATACTAAGACACCGTGACCCAAAATGGTATGTCGTCGTTTTAAACGATTGGTGGTGTTCCAACTATTTTCGTGTTCATTTCACTTTATGTTCATTTGTATCCATATAAAAATGAACAAATGCAATTTTTCACTATATTATAAAAGTTCACCGATAGTAAGTAACAGTATTGTCTCGTGAGTAAATTACACTCTTTATTAAGAATGAAGATAAGTAACCAAAATTTCATTATATTTCAATTATGAGATAAAATACTCAACAAATTAGCTCGTTTCACTTGTACAAGTCTTCTAAGATGTTTCAAAATATGATCAACTCATTTTGTAATGAAATCGAGATCCCGTGATCCAAAATGTCATGCAGTCGTTTTAACTATTTTGTATTCGCTTCATTTTTATTCACTTGTATATAAAAATGAACGAATGCAAATTTTCACTGCATTTAAATAAGAAGATCAATACAAAAGTTCATCTGATAGTTTTAGCGACATGTCGATGTTATAGTCGACACATTTGTCGAACTATAGTGTTAAACTATTGCAAGTCACTTTATAATTCGGTTCGAAACTACACTATACTTTACTTGACAATAAAGAAAAACGTAAGTAAAGCATGGTATGCAAAATATAACACTTATAGTCGTTCAATGTGTACAAGACATTTATGATGTTTCAAATACTATTTTACTAGTTTCGGAGTGAAATCGATACCTCGCGATCCAAAATTGCATCCAATCATTTTAAACGTACAGGTCAGATTTCTACTCAATCTTGTGTTCGTTTCAATTTATTCACGCTCGTAACCGCTTGCAAGCTTAAGGATGAAAGTTTTAACTATATTTTGATGTAGTTCAACGTTACGGTCGACACATTTGTCCAAACTATAGTGATTCACTCTATAGTTCAGTTGGTAACTACTCTATACTTCACTTGACAATAAAGAAAAATGCAAGGGACAAGTATGGTATGCAAAATATAGTACATGTTGCCGTTTAATGTGTAAAAGACATGTATGATGTTTCAAATACTGTTTTACTAGTTTCGAAGTGAAATCGATTCCCCAAGACCTAAAACGACATCCGATCGTTTTAAATGTATGGTGACATTTCTACTTAGTCTCGTGTTTGTTTCGATTTATTCATGCTCGTAACCGCTTGCAAGTTTAAGGATGAAAGTTTCAACTACATTTTGACATTATGGTTGAAACATTTGTCCAAACAATAGCAACACACTCTATAATTCGTTTGGAGACTACACGGCACTTTACTTGACAGCAAAGAAAAACATAAGCGACAAGTGGAGTATGCAAAATACAGCACGTGTAGTCATTCACTGTGTACAAGACCTGTATGATATTTTAAATACTGTTTTACTAGTTTCAGAGTGAAATCGATACCTCCTGATCCAAAATTATATATTGTTATTTTAAACATACGGTTGTCATTTAGGGTTTAGGGTATAAGATTTAGGGTTTTGGGCTTAAGGTATAGGATTTAGGGTACATGGTTTAAATATATTGTTGTTGCTCGCTAAAAGTGCATGTCGTAAGTGCATGGGTCAAGTTCAAGTAATAAAATGGACATTTTAATTCCGGATTGTCGATCTCTCGAGGAATGTATATTTTCGATTACACAACTTTAGTTAATTTTAATTCTAACAATAAAAATAAACACACACAAATTAAAAATATGATTTGGAAATAAGGAAATTAACTAAAAACCTACAAAATAAGAAAATATAACAATCTTGAAATTTCGGAAGCAAATGTGGTTGGGATTCATGGTTTCGCTTAACCATCGCCTAATTAATTTCTCCACATACCAATTTACAAATTATTCATTTACGAAATTAGATACGATTTTCCAAGTTTAGGTAATTACCTCTTTTGAGTAGAATTAACCCTAATTGATTCGTTTAATCTACAATATCTCTATGTCGATTAAAACCAAACAATTGTATTAAATATCTATGAAAATAAGTCATTGGGTCACCTAGAGTTAGAGATATATCTCTGTCCTCTATTCTTACCTGGGGTTTCTACTATTTGGTCTAAAATACACAATCTTCTCTTGAACAATTACAAATCACCAAACATAGTCATTCATTGGCCAAATAAATGAAAATGGAATAATAACAGTAGTAAAAGCAATGAAAATAAATAACTTAACATTAAAGAGTAAATACTAAAATTAATTAAAAGTTAGGTTAAGTTACTACCATAAATCCCAACACAAATATTTAGCCCATGTTAAATATATGATAAAAAGGAGAATATTTTATACAATACATTGCCAATAGAAGATAATAGTGAAGAAAATACAAGATTCAAGATACAACCATTTTTGTTAACTTTTTGAAGATGTTAAAGGCTTGAACTTGATTTCTCCAAAATCTCTCTACTTCTTTGAATGTGTATTCTCCTTGTGTTTGTGATTTCACTTCCAAAATGTCAAGAAAATGGAAAGAAAAAGAAGAAGAAGAGGGAAAGAAAAAACAAAAGAAAGGAAAGTAAAAGAAAATTGAAGGAGGAGGAAGAAGTCCCAACCCAAAGAATCCCTGAAAAGTGACCAACAAACTGATATTTAAATGGCTAAAATCACTTCAAGTGAAATTGTGGAAGAAGTCTCGAAATTTAAGCGAAATAGGAAATATACGCCAGTCGAAAGGCGGCGCGCGTCACGGGCATCTGTGGTGCATGTATACCATTGAGGCTTTTGGCCTCGATGGATCATGTACAATATGGTCCCCAAATTTTGATTTTCATATCACTTTTGCCCTCCGAAATTGCAAGCTTAGGTCCTTGAACTTTTGGTACTTGTGCACTTTGGTCCCCAACTTCACATTTTTGGACGATTTAGATCCCTTTTAACTTTCGTTTGCCTTGTTCTCTTACCTTTTAGGGTTAATGAATTGTGAGTTAATATGTGCTCCTTTAATCAATAATTAGCTTGTTAAAGTGTTTAACAAGTGTACAAAAATACACTTATTAGTTGCCGTTTAATTTTTCAACATGTATAATCCTTTGTGATGTTCTAAACGTTGTTTTACTTTGAAGTGAAATCGAGACTCACCCAAAACGACATATTATTGTTTTACTCTAGGGGTGCCATTTAGGTATAGGGTATACAAGAACATCGAACGTGTAATCATTCAACATGTACAAGTGAAATCGAGACTTTACTACCCAGAGCGACATGTGATCATTTTCAAGTATGATTGTCGTTTAGATTATACACAGCATAGCACATTTCGGATTGAAATCGACCCGCATCTAATATGGCACGTAAACATTTTAGTTGTATGACTGCAATTTTTGGTAATTCAATATTCAGTTTACATCATTTTTGCTCATTCAAACTAGACAAGTTATCTATGACGTTACTAAATTTGTTTTGCAGTGAAGTCTAGATCCCTTGACCAAAATGGCACATTGTCGTTTTAAACGTTTAACCGTCATTTTTCCAAATTGGGTGAATTTACGTAGCTAGTTAATAATAATCTTTTTTTCCATTGTATAAATATACAAGTTATCATGAAAAACTACAACTCTGTTTCAACCCTTACTGCTTCAATATTTGAATAAAACAGTCATGCAATGAAAAATATAGCAAGACTAATCAATATCCATATACTTGTTCCCTAATCAATTATAAAAACCACTACTAACTAGACAAAACCAGCATCCATGTAAATGTTTTCCTACTAAATCATAAAAAACACTACCATCTGGACAAAATTAGTATCTAAGTCCTATATCATCTGATGAGCTTCATAGGCCCAAATCTGCATTAGATTTAAAATATTACAATCTAAATAAAATGAATAATATGGATATTTCTCATTATTAATCAAGTATGACTTCACCAAGAATCTCTAGTCTTTCATGAATACATCTATTGTATGGCCAAAAGCCTTTCTCCCTCCAACGATAACTATTAAAAGCCTCTAAGTCATCAACCATTGACAAGTGTTCTAAAATTTTGTATGTGTAGTTTTGTTTGGGCAGTAGTACCATTTCCAAAATATATATAAACCTAGTCTTGTACTTGTCTTCCATACACACTTAGCGACTTTCAATAGCTTCTTTTAGATTGTACGACGTTTACCTTTCTTACACCTTTTGAAGTGTTTATTCACCAATCTACCATTAGTCACAATATGGGGCTCCAACGCATGCTCCTCACTAGCTTTCAACCAAATTATCAATGAGAACTTGTTTAATGAAAATCGTGTTGGCCTATCAATAATTGAAAACAAGATCTCATTTTATTTTTTGGTTACAATCATTCTCATTACAAGTGGTGGACTAGTTGTGTGAAAAAGGTATACGCTTCATTCAATATAGTTGTCTGAAACAAGATTCCATAAACATTTCTCAATAAACATCATCCAACATTTCCCAAACATAGTCAAGTTTTTTGAAGGCAATACTTCTACGAAGGCCTGCCTTTAATCCTATCTTCAATGTGAATCACATACTCAAATGATCGTTCCATTTCTGTAATAAAAAACATAAAACAATAATGTGAAGTTATCAATGAACAAATATGAAGCTTTTACAATAATTCTATGTGATACTTAGTACAATTCATTTTCGAAAAAGAAAGAGTGCCATTTTGAGAACTAGATGAACTTTAGGGTACCATACAGGAAAATTTAGCAACTAACATATCAATGCCACAAGCTCAACCAAGTGAGTGCATTTACTTCATGGAAAACATGCAAAATACTACTATATCTTCATTACAGTAAAAAATCACGATCGTTTATTACTCTACCATATTCCATTTAATGCAAACCTCTTGAATCTGACACATCACAATAGAAAAAGCAACACTATAGGTGGAAAAATAGTTCATCCATGTCTCAATGTCAAGCAAATACGACAATACAATATACATGTTCATCAAAGAATATTTAAGAGGAAGTATTTCGCGAAACTTTGAGAGTATGAATGAGCTCAAAATCTCATATCTTATCTCTCTGCATAATTAGCTCAGTCCAAAACCTTCAAGAAGCCACTTGGTTAACTAATACAAAATAATGCCAATTTAATAAGACTTCAATGGTATCATGGAATATCTACTTCAGTACACCAACATTGCAACTAACATGATATTTAAATATTTATAGCAAACAAAATGCTTAAAGATCTAATTTTCGATAGCTATTTTTATTAAATTGTCATATCTGCTTTCAATTATTAGCTCTATAAGAATTAAAATCCAAAAGAATAATAGCTTGCTGGAAAAAAGTTATTTTAGTCAAAGGCAAAAACCCCTAAGCAATAAGTGGGACATAACGAGAAGACAATTGTTGTATTTCATTATCTTGGAAAAACAATAATTTGCTTTTTGCAATTCGCCACAACTTCATCACGTAATTTCTTTATACGAGCAAGTCTAAGTTACGTGAAAAAGCATAATTGTGTGCCGCCTCAAACAGGAGTAAGTTATATTTACATAACAAAAGTAGATGTAAATCAAATTTGGAATCACCTATAGAGCTATTTAACCCAAGTTTGCTTACAAGCCCATCTTTAATTGTTCAATGTTTCACCTCAGAATACTCCACTATATATTTTATTCCAATTTGCTTATAAATCTACATCACGAAGAATAAAATAAAGAAATAACATGTTTTTAAATTTGTAATTACGAGAAGAAAGTTAAATTCGTACGTAACTTTTCGTGTAATTCAAAGTAACAATGAAAACTATGAAGAGAAAATTGAATTCCAAAACTTAATCACTACATACAAGAAACATGAATAAAATTAAGGTATAAACAAATCCATTCTATCAATATAGTTCTTGCTGGCACAAGTTTCTCTTAAAAAATTCGCATAAAATTGTAGTAAAAATGAAAAATTGAGGAACCAAACATACATGAGGATAGCCAACTATGAAATTGGTTCTTAGAAGTGGTTGTTCAAGCACGGGTGCTCTTTTGAGAATTTCGATTCTACAAATCTTGAGAAATGGATGAAACCTTCATATTCCTCTTTTCGTGCAAGAATACGAAGACAACCAATTTTGAATGTAAAATGATTTGGAGATGACGAAGCCATGAAGAGAAAAAAATAAAGGTTTGGGGATTGTTAAGGGAGAAGAAATATTAGATTTATGATTTTGGGAATTCAATTGATTTGAGAAGGGAGGAATTACATTTTTTAGATGGTGGTAAGGATATATTATGTAGTTTATAAATTATGATTTAACATATTTATTTTAAAAATATTATTTTGGTCAAAGGCTAAAATCTATAGTATGAAATAGGCTATTTGACCCAATTACCACTATTAATTATTATGACAACTATGGCATGCAGATAAGGCGTCTACTAATGTACACCGTGTGCGCGTTTGTCCTTTATTTTATGTTCCCCTATCCATTTTCATTTAAGATTTTGTTTGGACAAATTTATAAATCATTAAAAATTTCTGGAACTTTTTTTTATCAATTCGGTGGCATTAGGCGAATTGATGCCCTTTCTGAAAAGTTAATATGTCATCGTTTAGAGTTTATTGAGAATAATATAAAGATTATGAATGACGGATAAAGGAACCATCACTCTTCCATAGTAAAAGAATATGAATTGCGTCAAAATATCATTTTAGCCCCGCTTAAGTAATAACCTCAATCTATGTTGAGTTAATGTAACATTAAATGATATGTTAGATGACTTATTTCATTTAACCTATTATTTAGTATCTCATTTGCTAGTAATAATCTCCTAAGCAAGCACTGATGACATGATACACTAATTAATTGATGAATTATTAAATTCATGAGATCTACCATTAACTTATTCACAATAAATGATGTGACATGTCATCGGTACTTATGAGGTCATTTCTGTCACATTTGCGTCTCATAGATTGTGATTATAAACCTAGTGGAGCTAAATGACATTACTCTATATTAATAAAGTGATTATATTTCCATGACAACTAAACATGTTGATGTTTTTCATACCATATGACATCTTAACACCTTGCTAGAATTCAATCTTGGAGGCCAAGTTTAATTATATTTTTTGTGCTAATTAATAGTATATTGATATGATGGTTTTAATTTATGCTATTCTAATTTGTGTACGATAATTATATCATAATATTTGCCATAGCGATTGGAAACATAATGTTTCACACGCAAAATGCGAGAATTGAGGTATGAATCAGTTGAAAAATGTGGTACATTTGTCAAATAATTACTTGGATGACTTCTAGGCTAAAATTAATTAATTGAATTAACGGAAAAGTTCATATACACCCAACTAATATATAATAATTCATTTTATACTATTAAATCGAAATAAGAACCAAATTTAATATAGAAAAAATTGCAACAGTAGTCCTTAGCCTTTCATTTTTTGCAGACTTTACCCTAATATTTATTTTGTACCATTCACAATCTTTGAACCTTTCAAAAAATATGCACATAAGGTCCAAATAGATAGAAACCATCCGTCTTGCCATCAGTTAACCAAAAAGTCAAAATTTGATCAATTTTAAATAAAATTACTATCTAACAATGACATATCGGTTAAACCACCGATTCACCAGTTAAACCATTGACCCGATGACCCAATGATTTTTTTGGGTCAACCATCGGATCGGGTCTAATAACTATGGTTATGATACTACTAACAGGTGAGAAGATATTACTCTTAACCAATGATTTGTGGCGAATTGGTTTCAAAAACATATTCATCGAGATACATCCAATGAGTAATTCCAGTGAAACTTCTTCCACAAATTTTATAGAAAATGATTACGGTTAATTTTTTGCCTTTTGTAATTATTAGGCATGAATATTGTATCTCTACTTCAGAAACCAAAATTTTTTCCGATTCCGAAACCCGTTTTACAAGAAACAAAGAAGATCTTTCACTCGCAATGTAATCTTTAGGGGCTGTTTACGTTAGTAGCTATAATTTTACATATACAAAATTATAGCACCGTAAGGCAAAAGACAAACTCCCTTCAATTGACAATCTCTAGTTCATTACACCACCAGCTAAGGAATTTAGAAAGAGAGTCTAAGATGAGAAGGAAATAATAGTGATGAAAAAATGAATTTTGCAATTCCTTTCCATAGTAATTCATCGTTGATCACTTGGACTTAAGCTTGTATTATAATCAAAATAAATGTATACCTCGTGTATATAGCTACACGTGCATGAAATCTGTTAGGCAAAGATTTCTGTACGTGTAGTACAGTTCCTATCTCATAGGGCTCAAATTACAACTATTTATGTGTACGCATTTTTTTCCTCCTTTTTTTGTTGATGTTCAAGTGTCATTAAATGTGTAAGTGTTTTCTATTTGTTTTTTTTTTTTTTTTTCATCTATTTTCAGTTAAGTGTCGTTGTTTCCGCATTAACCAATTCATTTGATAAACACAAATAGGTAGGTAGTCAGATATTGCAAGTATAAGCTTAAATTTCTCGATATTCGTCGTATGGTATTCAATTAACAGGAAAAATCTAACTAGTGGTTTTTTGCCCAATAAAATTGTCTTACAACAAAAATTTTAATATGTTCATTATATCATGCAAAATAACTATAGAGCATTTTATCAAAATGTTATATAGGAAATATAGACAACAATGTCGAGGAAAATTGAAGTGTCTAAACATACTACAAACTTCATCAGTTTTGTCTAATCTGTCCAACATGCCTAAATGCTTTGAAATTCACACAACAAGGAAGTAGGACAATGTCAAAGAACTTAGTTTGACGAAAAATTTCTATATTTTTCGAAATTCATGCAAAAAGGAGGAGAGCGTCTAAATAGACTATATTTCTCGTCAACTCTATGTAATTTAGTGAAAATGCTTAGATTATTTGAAATATGTGCAAAAAGAAAATTAAAAAAATTCTCTCTCTCTCTCTCTCTCTCTCTCTCTCTCTCTATTATTAAGAAACCCGAAAATGTTTCAATTGATTTTCTCTAAAACTTCTATGGAGGAAATTGACTCTTAATTAGTTCTATATTTTCAAACCTGGTTTATAATTCAACCGCACAATCACACCTTCAAAAAAATAATAATAATAATAAAAATAAAAAATTCCACTATCCTAAACATTAAAATTTGATAAAAAGAGGCCAAACGGGAGCATAGTGATTGCTCATGCTTAAAAGCTTTTATTTAAGAAAAAGCCATAATTGGAGCTATAATTATTGTTTGAGACCCGCCACTTTGTTATTTTGAACCAGAAAAAATAGTGGGTATCGATGCTTAAAAGCACAACTAAACATGTGCATAATTGATTACAATCAAACTAACACATATCATGTAAGGTGGGCATATGATCTACGGTGAAATTCAATAGGCAAATTATGTACGTGTACACCTCTCTTCTCATTTTTTGTGTTTAAGCGCTTTTTCCCATTTCATTCTTTATTTATTTTCGCTTTTAGGGTTTAAAAAAAAAAAAAAAAAAATATATATATATATATATATATATATATATAAGTGGTGGTACTCTTTTTCAATTTCTTTTTGTGATACTTGACATTTTAAAGTTTTAATAGTTGCAAATCTAACTCTTTTGATAAACACAGATATTTTGATATTACAAACTTTTTGGTTTAAATTTCTAGATGCGTCATAATGCGTTCAATTAATAGGAAAAGTTTCTAATTGCTTAATTTTTATTTTTTCTCAAAATGAAATTTTCTCCCACCAAGAATCTTGTTAATGTCCATATAGTCATCTGAAATTACAAAAGTAGCCTTTGATCAAAATGTATAATAGGCAAATTTCGAAAAAGTTGCCAAAGAAGATTAGAGAATCTATATGGACCAGAAAACTTGTCGACTTTGTCTAGTTTGACGAGAATGCATAGGTATTTCTGCAAAAAAAAAAAGAAAAAAAAAGAAAAAAAAAAGGAAGAATATAAAATAGACTACATATTCACATCAATTTTGTCTAGTTTGACGAGATTGTCTAGATAGATCGAACTTTGGACATAATAGAGGAACAATTTGAAAATACTTTGAAATGGGAATGGTATATTTATCAAAAATTCAAAAACTAACAATTATTGGAGACGAAACAAGTAATTAAAGTCAAAATCTGGAAACTAATACCAAAATTGCAAAACATTGGTCCCATCATTATTCTAGAATCTTAAAAAAATAAAAAATAAAAAAAATAAGGGAATTGGGTTGATACATCACCACCTGAATTTGAAGTGTGGAAAGAAAATGAAAACTATCTTGAATCTGAGCCCCCGTTTGATCCCCATTCTTTGGCAACAAAAATGAAAAATATGATCGTTATCCATCATATCAAACCACCATATTTGACTTTCTATCTCTTGTATGAGTCATATAACGATTACATTTTTCATTCTCATTCTTACAAAAATGTGAATTAAACGGGGCCTGAATTTCTTCAATACTCCTTAATTTTCTTCAATCTATTTCTTCATCTTGAAAATCCAAGCAAATATATATGAAGTTTTATTTAAGAATATGTGATTTGTACCAAAAGCTTCTCTAAAACTTGTAAGGAATGTGTATATATATATTTTTAATCAAAAGCTCACATTTCTTGTATGATGAATGATCATATATCTTCAAGAATTAGGTCAAGTCTCGTATATACTAATCCCTTCTATTAAAAGTTGAATCAAAATAGGAAACAAATATTTTTTGTTCGGAACTACCATGCAATCGCATTGTAGAGTACATTATGATGGTATGATTGTACTTGTATGCATGTACTACTCCTCTTGCAGTCACATAATATGGACTTTGCAGTCGAAAGGTTTGCTTTTTTTTCATGTTCAATTTGATCCTTGCAAATCTTCTTTTGTTCAGCTTTAGTCCTTTCTTATTTGTACATGGATCCTTCATCTTTAAATATTTACAATTTAATTCTCATCATTCCACAATTATTTGTAATTAGTATAATGACAATCATAAAAGTTTACAATTGAGTTCTCAAACTTTTCAAACATTGTATTTAGCTTTCAATACTTGCAAATCTCAACGGATTGCCATCTTAATGCTCCTTATTGATCATGTGCAATCTGATTAGTCATCAATTGCTCCGAATCAATTTCAATTAAGCCCAAAATCATCTGTCTTCGCAGCTAGTGCAATCAAGTTGAAGTTTTGAATACAATTAACATATTTACAC